CTGAGGTTGAAACATAATGTTAGAAAAAGTACAATGAATAATGTGTTCAATTTGTATAATCAGAATGCAAATTAATAATATGCATAATTATAATAATTTGCATAATATGCAAGTTAGATGCCTGAACATGAGGAACTAGAATATGGCAACCCTAGGCATGGACCCTGTATAACCACAGTGCAGATATGCCTAGAGCAATGGTTCTCAAACTTTGGTCCTCCAGGTGTTTTGGATGTGAGCTTCCAGGATCCCTGACTGTTAATCAAGCTGCTTGGGGCTTCTTGGAGTTGGAGTATAAAACACCTGGAGGACCATATTTTGGGAAGCAGTGGCCTGCAGCGACAGAGACTGCACTTTGCTTTTTAACTTTCTCTTTCTCCTTGTTAGGCTAAGACTTCTGCAAAGTCCTTTGCTGCTGGCCCAGCACTTCTTGAATGCAGTGGAGAGGCTGCCAAGGACGTACAACCTTGAGGAATACCAGCACTTTATCAACATCTATGGCACCCACTACATCAGCCTCGTGCAGCTGGGCGGGCGAGTGCGCCACCTTCTCGCTGTGCGGACTTGCACCATGGCCTTGGCGGGTTTAACCATTTCCAGGGTCAAGGACTGCTTGAAGTGGGAGGCTAGTCTAGGACATGAATGGCTCTTAGGATCCAGTTCCATTAATTCCAAGTGCCAAGAGCTCTGGGGGACCAACGGCCAAGGAAATTTTTACGACATCTACACCGGTCAAATCACGGAAGTGGTGGGAGGAGACCAGCGGGTGGAGATGCTGTTCTCTCAAACCGGAGAGATCCAGCTCTTTTTGGAATGGATGGAAACGGTCAAAGTAAAGCCTGGCCTGGTCTCCTTCTCCCTCCTCCCCCTCCACACCTTGTTGAAACAAACAGACCCAAGGAGGAATTTGCTAAAGCGAGCCATCGTGGGTCATATCAACCGGAGGGCCCTTAGGAGGGATTGCCCACAAAACTGCCCACCATGGAGCACCCAGAGCTCAGACAACAGCTGCACATGTGCATGCCAGGCCGATGCCATTGTCAATGACATGTGTTGCGCCTGGGAACGGGGCAGGGCACGCCTCCGCTTCACCATTTCCAGTGGCTCCAACCTTTGGGGTGACCATTTCACTGCCACCGATGCCTACGTCAAGGTTTTCTTCCAAGATCAAGAAAAGCAGACCAGGGTCATTGGGAACAATAACCACCCCAATTGGTCTGAAACCTTGGATTTTGGGGCCGTCACGCTGGGCGGCTATGATCCTTTTACAGTGGAACTGTGGGACAAAGACGTCTGGCACGACGACCTCTTGCAGAAATGTCGCGGCATTTTGGTGGCTGGAGGAGGTCCCGTCTGGTTCACCTGCTACTCGTCTCATGGGCACATCGAATTTTCTTACTTGTTGGAGTGCGGCCGCACGTTGGGAGGCCCCAGCTGCTACGACTATGTCCCCTTACGGCTCCCAACATCATATTTCGGCAATACCAGTTCCCCGTTCCGTGCTTTATTCTTGTCCCGTATGTTTAAGGAAGACTAACAACTGCAGGAGTAGACTTAATCCAAACAAAGCAAAGACTGGGACAAGGCCTAGCAAGTGAGAGTAGAGCCATGACGAAAATGTAGCGCGCATCTACACCAGTGATTCTAAACTTTAGTCCTTCAGTTGTTTTGGACTTCAGATCCCAGAAGCCCCAGACAATGTGGCCCAAAGTCTGGAATTCTTGGATCTGAAGTCTAAAATATATTGAAGACAAAAGTTTAAAAACCAGTGATGTACCCTGTAGAAATAATGCCATTTGACACCACATAAACTACCATGGCTCCATCGTACAGAATCCAGGGATGTGTAGTTTGTTGAAGCACCAGCACTCTTTGGCAGAGAAGGCGAAACACCTTGTAAAACTGCAGATCCCAGGATTCCATCAGATAGAGCTATAGCAATTAAACTGCATTATTTCTATGGCGTAGATGCACCCAGTAATAGGGGCCAGGTTGGTCTAAGGGGGGGCAACTGCTTCGAGATAACATTTTAGATATGGTAATAGGTATTTTAATTGATTTAAATAAATGAAGAAATGAATAATGGTAATAAGTGCTGGCTGTTAAGACTCAAACCTATCAAATAAATCTTTTGAGTTTCACTTTTATAACCAGAAGTGTTATAATGGGATTCTTATGAATGTATGAAGTTGTCTTATGCTTAATCAGACCATGGATCTAAATAGCCCAGGGGTGGGGAAAATGCAGCTTGAGAGTTAAATGTGACCTTTGGGATCCTGTTTTGCATACCCACCGCTTGGCAGGGACAATCCTGTCATTCCACTTTTCCAGCTGCTTTTAAAATGTCCCAGTTTCTCTTTCTTCTTTCCCTGTCGTCCTCAGCTTACTTCAATTGCTGCAAACTTGAGGCTGCATCTGCACTGCAGAAATAATCCAGGTTGATACCACTTTAATTGCCACAGCTCAATGCTGTGGAATTTTGGAAACTGTAGTTTGTTGTGGCACCAGAGCTTTCTGACAGAAGGCTAAAATGTCCCACAAAACTACAATTCTCAGAATTCCACAGCACTGAGCCATGGCAGTTAAAGTGGTATTAACTTGGATTATTTCTGCAATGTGGATGCAGCCTGAGTTCAAAGTGGGAAAGTACTTTGCATTCATTTAATTCAGCGGAGGGGAGAAGAGGAGGGTTGGAGCATTTCCCTTTCCAGTGGGACCAGGCAAAAGCAAACTGCTGCAGCCTCTTCTACCTTGTATGTTCCTCCTCATTAATAACTTTTCCCATCTTGACCACACTCTGATGTCGTTTGGGTACATGTCCCAGTTTTCATCTTGGAAAGTATGGTTTTGTGGTCCCAGGAGAAGAGTGACCAGACATCCTCCTTTTCCAGGACATGTCTTCAATTTCTGCTTTCTGATCAGGAGGAATTCCAAAATGGAGCACAAATTTATATTTATATTAGTGTTTTGAGCTTTTTATTTCTCTGACATTTTGTGGTGCATTGTCGTCCTTTGCAGTTAGGAGATCTGGTCACCCTACAAGAGACCCTCAAAATCCCCAGACTTCCCAAAACAACAATAAAATAAAAATATAGTTTTTTGCCCCTAACTAGTTTAAAAATTGCACAAAATGTGATTTCACTCAATGGGGAATGGCCCCCCACACCCTTTACAATTGTTCACCCTGATCTAGACCAATATTACCTACTCAGAATAGTAGACTGACAGTGTACAGATTTGGATCTTGGGATTCCTCGCACAGAGGAGCTTATCACAAGGGCAGGATCCCATGCAAAAATGGGATTTACACTGAAGAAAATCTGCAAAAGCGCATTGTTTTCTAGATGACGTCTGAGATTAATCCACACAGAAAGTGGATTTATAGGTTGATTTTCAGACGACGTTGGGGTCAATGAGCAATAATGCAACATTAACCTGGACAGAAAGGTGACAAAATGCGCTTTTTTTATTCTTGGGATTTTCTGAAAGTAAAAAGAAGCGCATTTTGTCAC